TCTTCTTGGCTCATACTCCACAGCCCCAAGTAATCACAGATTTGCTGTCACTATAAATCAATTTGCACTTTTCTTAAGTTCACCTATTTATTTTCAAGTTGCCACATAATGCCTGTAAATATTTATGCAGAAAATGTAATGTTGTAAAGTGTGCAACAAAGTAACGGGCATATCCCTAACCTTGTATGTTTGTCATTTCTTTGTAGTGAAAGCATTCCCAAGGCATTTTCTAGTTTTGTGTAAATGGAATCATACGGTCTGTATGTACTCTATTCTTGGAGGGTGGAGAGCAGGCTGGCTTTTTGTTTTTGCTATAGGGTGCGAACACTTGGATGTTTGGAAATGGGGAAAGTAAGAAACCACCTACCAGGGAAGATGGCCATGCTGCAATTCTTCTTCTCCATTGTCCTCTCAGGATTTGGGTCATGAGCTTGGTATATTTTTCAAGCCACTGGGTCTAGGACTCAAACTGGGCAGTTGGCCATGTGGGCACCTATAACCTTAACCTCTGTACTGCCTGCTGATGTCTCAACTGGCTTCTTTCACTCAGCATAATTATGCTGAGTTCCAGGATATTGTTACATGTTTATAGTTCACTCCTTTTTATTTCTGAATGGTATTCCATTATTTGGATGGACAGTGGAATGTCCACCCAGGACACTCCAAGCCAGAAGCAGAGCTTCAGGTAAGAACCTTGACACAATCTTTTACATTTATCTTAACTTCACCATTGACAAGAATTAGAATTCTTCTACTGAAGCCAGACATGATATTAACTCCTTTTACCAGAGCCCCACTTTGAGTGTTTCAAAGCAATCCTTCATTTAAATTTTACCCAAATTCCATCCTGCTAAAAATAGATAAATCTAACTTCATGAGGCTATCATAATCCTGGTGGGTTTTATCAGATGGGCTTTATCAATTGACATGAATGCTCATGACTACATTACATGCAGTACAGTATGACCCATCTTGTTTTTAAAATAAGAACACATGAAAAGATGACAAGAAAGCTATTTATGGTAGAACAAATCTATGGTAGAATGAATCTATCTGTATTATCAAACACAGTAAACATATTGTTTCCTTTTTAAAGATTAAGGACAGTCACAGAAATAACAAAGGTGATCTGATTTTATGAATGGATACTTGCTAAACTCCAAAAAGGACTGGTAAATCTCATTCCTATTATCATAATAGTTTAATTCACCAATCCATAGCTGTGAATCTAGAATGGTCAGTGGAACATCTTAGGAAAACCATGACTTTTCATGTCCCTAGAATCAAAACATATATACAGGACCATCATCTTATTTCACAAATCTGAATGTAATTTAGAAACTTTGAGAGTTAAAGCCGATCCAATGACACAACCCAAATTTTGGACCTTTGAATTTACAGTCCTTAATTATAAGCCTGTAAAAGCTCAGTAGTAGTTTATTTTTATTACTTTTTTAAGGAACTCCCTTCCACCCATTAATCACAATATGCTTTACAACATAGTTGCAAAGTAGGTCAAAACACTCAATGTATTTTTGGCATTGGGGGCTTATTAATATTACCCGTTGTATTCTTTGAGAAAGCTTGTATTTAGTTCACTTACGACACCCTCTTACATACTAATTATCATTTAATGATGAAGCACTGAGTCTCCCCACAGCAAAATGGAATTGAAAAGCCCTAGGACAAACCCCAAATATTTTATTTGCAATTAAAAATCTAAAAATATTATTTGTTTCCTTCTAATGCCATCTCACAGAGATGGTCAACACAACATATAAAAATAGAATTTTTTTAAACTGAGATGTCGTACAAAAGATGATGGTAAACAAGGGGGAAGCAACCGCTAGGTATAATGCAATCAAATGTGCTTCCTCTTATTAAAACTACAAATTAGTAGGAAAGAGGAGTGCCGCCCACCGGCTTTCTAAATTCTGAATTCCGGGGGCCTAACAGCAGCGAGAGGAAGAGTGAATGAGCGAAAGGACGCGAAGGCGGCCCAGCCAGGCTGCAAGCAGCGGCTTGCAGCGTGAGAGCTGGCCCTGCAGAGAAATACCCAACTGGGAACTGAACCTGCCCCTGGAGAAAGGGTCCTCGGCCTCGGACTCTACTGAGCCCAGCCTGGAAGAACCTAGCTCACCAGTAACCCTAAGGGGCAAAAGCCGAAGCCACCCCAAAACAAACCTAGGAAAACTGAAAAACCTACACCTATCAGGGCGACTTTGACTGAGACCCCGTGACCCGGTCCCCAGCTCTTCGCCCGCCTCCCCGGCACTCATTGAGAGCGCCACGTCTCCGGTCCCAGCGCATGAGCCGTCTCCGGGAGATTTCCTCCAGTTAACCCCTCCCAGCCTCGGTCAAAGTCACCCATCCCCAGGCTCCGCGTCTCCTCAACCCCTAACCGCCAGAGCCAGCCGCAACGGCTGTGCCTCGCCCCAGCAACTCCCGCCCCGCCCGGCCCCGCCCGC